GTAATGGAGTAGGTCTTAGCTTACAGCATCCTGTGAACTTCCCCTGACTAAAGTATGCACATGCATCAGACGAACTCCACTTCAGCCGAGTATGATTACCTGGAAAGGGCTGCTACAGGATTTCTTCATGAATGTTTGCCAAAGAACTAGCAATTCGAATCCTGCTTTTGAAGCAAAATGCTTCCGTGGACGTGACTTGCTGACCCTGGGTTGATTTCCCATCAGTGCAGTAGAGCAAGTATCCATTTTCTAGGTCCAGCTAACCACTCACCTACGGGTGCTCGGTCTTGAAACATTCGATAGTCCTCTCGTGTGAGAACTAAGTACAGCATAGGGATGAGGTTAAATGAAATACATAAAACAAGGTACAAAACAGCTCTGACAACCTACGCAGCTGACCAGCTGATTGCCACTCAATAGCAAAACAGTAACTGGAATTATTGCGACAAAACCATTGCCTGTCTTTCTTCACGAGATACGCCGACTGCACCTAGCAAGTCGAGCTGTTGGTTCACAGAAGACGAGTGATGCTTGCCTCTTAGCAGTTATCTACAGGCCTCCGAACTCATCAGCAGACAGCGATACTATTCTGTTAAACGCCCTCCGCTATGCTGTTTCACAAAAGTACTCTCACTATCTTATAATGAGTGACATTAATGTTCCTTCAATAGCATCAATATCCCCTAATGGGCCATCATTTAAATCGAAACTCCTCGGATTCATGGATATGGCAGTTTTGTATAACCATGTGCATCGACCAACCAGACATCGCGGTTCAAACAAGCCATCACTCCTGGACTTAATCCTGACTAATGAAGAGTTGATGATTGAGTCAGTAGCATACCATCCTCCACTGGGCCGTAGCGACCATTCCGTTCTAACATTTGGTCGTGTGTTATGCCAGTATTGTTGCTAAAGAAAGGCGACTCAAGGAACTATTACAGACTATTTTAAGCTGTGCAGCTTAGCAACAACTGATGACTGGGACCTATGGATGCACAGCTCAGCGAATGACGCATGGAATGTACTGAAAGATAAAATTAACTGGGTCACGCAGTCAGCATCGAAGGTTGTACCATTACGAGCATCGCGCTGGACCAATACGTGGATCCAGAGCAGAACACGTAAATGGATCAACAGAAGAGATGAAATCTGGAGGAAATATTTGCCAAGCCCATGTGATATCACATGGCGGTATTACAAAGTCACCAGACACTACTGCACGTCGCTCATTAGAGTCGATAAGTACGAATGGTAGGAGAATATGGTGCTGAAATTTACGAGTAACATCAAACTACTATACAGATTTGTGAATGGCAAAAGAAAGGTTAAGCCCGGAATATCAAGGATCAAGGCGGTCAGTGGCCTAACAACTACTGCTGTGGATGCTTACAGTTCGGCTCGGTAGCTACAAATACCATGGAACCTTAGACCTATCAACTCCTAACAAATGTCGTTGGCTTACCCAGCGTCACCTTTATTCCAGCAGCTGTTGCAAGCAAATTCCAGTCTATCCTGGAATACAGTGCCATTGGAATCGATATGGTCTGCTTAGAAGTACTGAAAACCTTTCCTCCCACCATAGCAGCACCAGTTGCAACCTTTTTCCAGAATCCGCTTAACTCCCATAGACTCATCTGAGTGGAAAAGCGATTACCACTCCGATATACAAAGGAGGTAAGCGATCGGCTACTGCCAACTACCGACCTATTACCCTCCTTCCTGTTTTATCAAAACGGATGGAATTGGTACTTGCAGATGAACTGACGCGATACTTTGAAAGTCTATAAATAATTTCTAATACCCAACATGGTTTCAGACACAGACGATCTTGTCCCACCAATCTGCTTATTACTCGGGACTCATGGACCAGGGCGCCTGATGAAGGAGTCCCCATAGATGTGATTTACTTGGATTTTGCTAAAACATTTGACAGGGTCAATCACTAATTTTCTCTCCAATAACTTTCTACGGTATCAACGGTTCCCAGCTCATTTGGTTAGAAGACTACTTACATGACAAAGCAGTCAAGGTAAGAGTAACCGACGCTCAATCTGCAAGCCTGTGCATCTCCAGTGGTGTACCACAAGGATCCGTCCTCGGCCCGCTACTGTTTTTAGTCTACATTAATGAGCTTCCAGCAGACATTCTATCTCCGATGAAAATATTTGCAGATGGTGCTAAAATATGGAGTGAAATTCGCTCAGCATCCGACCGTGTCTACCTCCAGGAAGATCTGACTCAGATTAACGCATGAGCAGAAAAGAACCAGCTCTCACTGAACCCTGCAAAGTACCACCTGCTGACAGTGTGTAGCAGCTTCGTCAACACATACCTTTTGGGGTAACACGTCCTGCAACACGTGACTAGTGAACGCGACTTGGGTATAATCGTGCAAGGGAGTCTTGGCAATTCGCTCCAGTGTTCGAAAGCAGCAAGTGTGGCGAACTTGAGACTTTTGTGATGCGCTCTCGACACGTTCGAGAGACGGCTAGTACCATTGCTGGTTAACTCCTACATTCGTGCTCACGTTGAATATGCAATTCAGGCCTGGTATCCATGGTTAAAACGAGACATTCGCCTATGGGAACAACCCCGAAGAAGAGCCACAAAGACAACGCGTGGACTATCCGGTCTAAGTTACGAACTGCGTCTTCGTGTACTCGGTGTGTTCTCATCAGAATACTGACGGCTTCGCGGAGATCTTACTCTCACATACCGCATACTAACTGAAAGCGAGTATCCATGTACATCACTGTTGATCCTAGCCACTTAAAAACAAAGCCGAGGCAACCACCTGAAACTAATGAGGCAACACTCCCGTCTGAATTGTAGAAAGTATTTTTACTCACTTCGAATCTGTTCTCACTGGAATGCATTACCAAGATATGTGGTGAATGCACCAGACATGACGACATTCGAAAGACTCACAGACTTTCATCTTAGTGATAATTCTTACACAACATTTTGATAAAGTGCAATGGTTTAACCACTGATACTTCACGTTCTACGTTGGAACATTTTGATTTTAACTTTTTTTTGCATATCCATCCTGTGGGTCTTGTAAAGTTATGCTTTTTATCCCATCATACACTATTGAATGTTTCAGTTTAACAAGTGTACACCGTACAGAAACAACTATGCAGACGATTCTGTTAACAAAGATGTTCGCTTAAGAACGATTCAGTGGCCGAACTATTAATTCAGTGCATAAAAAAGATGTGTTCCCACGGAAGCATGATGCGAGTGTGAGCACGTTGAATCATGTTAGAGTGCGCCCTGGACGTTTACAACTGAACCGTGTGTCACGTTAGTGAAACGCATTCATACGTCACATGTGATACACAGGTGAACATCCAGCAAAGCAAGGTATCGTTGATGACTATCGAAATACCCTGTGCATGTGTCGATAGCTGTGTTACAAACAGGAAACTAATCGCTGCAAATTGCAGCCCTTAAAAACCACCATCAAGAAAATGCTACCCACTGGTGGGAGCGCGCTGATCGCAATGCCGGTTGGTCCAAATCATGCTACGCACTAGCTATAGTGGGCAAATTTGCTGATAGTCAACACTTTGATAACAACGCATTCATATGACCACATCAACTGTGGTTTCGCACGAACGATAACTCAGCCTACATGGACAGTACGCGTACCAAGTATTGTCGCATCGGTAAACGCACGTGGACCGAATATGGGAAAGTTGAGAATATTAGGTTTGTACACAGATTTCCGGAACCTCAAGACACAGGATTGTGATGACTATCACTCACCCTTATAGTTACTAGGAACGGCAGCAATGAGGAGTCAATGGGTTCCTACATCTCGTTGGAGTAGTAAATACTAGTCAGAGACGATGCGCGTAATCAAGCGCGGATATCAGAAGACAAATGAAGTCGGACACAGCGGACTATGTTCGTGGGGCTACAAAAGACGTGGACGGATGAAGCGAGAAGGGAGCGAAGATTAGCACGGTAACTTGCAGAGCAGACGAGTATCGAGTCGGATGTAAGGGAGATTAGGCCAAGAAAGATTAATGTATAATTGGTCAGTACTGAGATCGTACATGATAGTAATCTTTTGGAACGCTCCAATCTACTAGGGGAAATGGAGAGTGTGGTTTGCATTGCAAGTGTACTACACCTTCAGGGTGTACTCCAAATAATCTGGTATTTAGGGATGCAGATACTGTACGCTTACGTTAGACCCTTTCACTCCTTGTTAGGCGAATCAACGTAATAATGCCGCAGGTTCAGAGTAAGTCACCGAAACTGACGAAGGTCCTTGGTTGGGTAGCCATGTTAGCGTTAGTGTCAACAACCATCTAAAAGCAACAACACAATCAAGATTCAGGAAAGATGGTCTCCAGTGCCGTAGCAACTAGTTTTGCCGCCCGGGGCGGCGACAAAATTTCCGCCGACTGTGTGCGTGGTCACATAATCGGCTCAGGGTAAAGTGTACATCAGTTATCGATGAAAGCGATGATCGTTTGGGACACAGTTGGACAAGTAGGGGATTGCTGGAAAGAATATTTGCACAGGTGTGACACATGGCCTAAATGTGTTGTTGGTCATACACAGTAACACTACAAACTTCAATCTTCAGCTTATCCGGATATTTTGCCCTTTATATTTGGTATCGGGCAATTGCCGGTACCGAAAATGTCGCCTGCCGCCCGGTGCGGACCGCTGCTACCTATGCTACGCCACTGATAATCTCACAGATGATTAGAGAAGAAGCGTATTTGGGAAAGTCACTGTGCGAGAAAAAGCTGTCGACCATTCTTCGGTGTGAAGAAAAAATAAGCATTAGTCGCAGACCATCAAACGCCGACAATCCAGATTTACCGGTTTTGAGTGCTTTAGATTCACAGCTAAAACCTGTCAATTAGTTTGTGTTTCCATGATTAAATTGTGTGCTTGTATAAAGGTGTGAGTGAGCTGACAACTGGTTAAGAACAGTTTTAGTTTTTTAACCGTCCTCTCCAAATCGTTTTTAGGCCGGTGCTCAACTTCTACACAATGGAAAAGTCGTCCTCCTGTCATGGTGCGAAAGCACCTTTTGGACCACCGTTACAAATCAGGCAATCCTGCAGCTGGAGAAAGGCGACAATGTATGGCTTCGATGTCGTGATGAAGCTTACAAACTTCACGGGTACATGTACAGCAGCCTCTCCGGTTACCTGCTCTATCCTGTCACAACCTGATCCAATTAAACGAGAAAACACCACATTCTAGCAAAAACCTCCATCATCACCTATCGATTTCCACACAGTTTCCATCCATATTATGCTGTAAGTACTATGAAACGCTCACCTGTTCATCCAGACTTTTACTTTATGGAGAAATAGCACGCGAATACTATGCTCTAAGGGAAATATTAGCATGAAAAACCATCACGGGCAGAACTTTAAGTAGAGTGCAGGGGCATTACATGCATAATGCGATCCGAACCAGGTGGCGAGGAAACGCAGGTTATGGTTTACTAATACGTTGCCGTGTACAGTAGTTTGCGGAAAAACAGCGCACAAGTAAAAGGAGGCGGAACAGTTATGCCAAAATGTTATTGTGCTCAAGCAACTAGTCACCCTAGTCCGACTTCGAACACGGAAATGGGACGGCAATATTTCTGTCTCCTGATAGATTCATGGCTGGAATGTCTCAACATGACTTAAGAGCAGCTCGAAAAAAGCAGTTCGTGTCTGTATACAGTCTGGCAAATCTTTCGGCGAGAACCACGAGGTGTGTTTAAGTGGAGTTTAATAGCTCCGATGGCTGAAATCCCACACGAAGCAGATATTTTCAGTGCTGCTCCCGCCAGACGGTCAGTTTCGTCCTCACTTACACTTCCCAAGCAGAAATAACCGGAGTTTTGGATGAAACCCTCGACCAGGTGATTTTAAGTTGACATCATCATACTGTCACTGGACTCCCCGAGGGAGTTTTCCAGACAGTTAGAATGAGAATGAATGATATCTGAGCGCCTAGTGTGGGAACTGATCGAGCTACGAAATAAAGAGTAAGGCATCAAGTAGTATTGTCAGAGAACTCGGACGATCGGATATCTGGGACAGTTGCTCCCGGAGCTTTATGTCATCAACAGTAGTACATCGGCCATTTGAACTGATGCTACGCTGCCATACAACCACAACGAGCAATGGAACAAAGAATAATAAAAAGTACAGAAGGGAGACTTACCAGAAAACCTTAATGCCCTAAGCAAACATTCAGGGTCAAGGCGCCTACACCTTGTTTAGACAACATACCGTCACAAGCAGCTGGCTATCATGGAATGATAAGGCGGCATCGGCGATACAGCTTCCTTAAAGCTTTCACTGCCCCGCGTCATAATCAGCATACGCGCAGATAACTCAGCACCAAACACACTTTAAACAGGTAGTCCAACTAGGAGACGGCAGCAGACGCGCCACTGGTGTCGGCTGCGAGCCATGTAAACTATCGAGCAAAGCACAAGGCGAGTCACGTGGACTCCAGCCCAGAAGGCGAGACGGACCGACGGCAGCCAGTTTTGTAGTCAGTGACTTCATTTATCGCTGCCACCTCGAACCTTGCGCCACCCTACATCTGGCAAACAAAACAATGCCCACATCGGTATGCGATGACCAGACATACGTAGTACATATTTTTGTTCGTCGCCATCAGCCGACAATTCAGATATGTCGACCAGCTATCCGGAAAAGCACCAGACGGCCGTTTCGCCCTATTGGGGCTTTTCCGGACAGCTGGTCGACATATCTGAATTGTCGGCTGATTGCGACGAACAAAAATACTCACCAAAATCCTTCCATTCATAAGTAATACCAATTCGCCCGTACGGATTCCACAAAATGCTATGTCGATTCATAGCTGCCGTAACCGGGAAGTCCTGACGCCGGAAGGCCGACCGCTGTCATCTGCATGGCAGGTGCCTGCATGGCAGTGGAGGATGCGTCGGGCTATATCGCATTCAGCTAACAATTCATGATAGTTGGGTACCGTCCCCCATGCCTCAGTTGCATAAGCTGCGGGCTAGTTGGCAAGAGCCACTAGCAGTCATGGGTTCGATCCTCCGCAGAGGACCGAAGGATGCGCACCACTGATGAGCCCCAATAGGGCGAAACGGCCGTCTGGTGCTTTTCCGGATAGCTGGTCGACATATCTGAATTGTCGGCTGATGGCGACGAACAAAAATACTCACCAAAATCCTTCCATTCATAAGTAACACGTAGTACGTGCCCACGCCAACGCAACTTACTCAGTGCTACCTGGCTTGAGTATCACTGCCTAGTACTCGCCTACGCGCATCATCGTGGTGGACACGCTTTTGGTTTAGGCTTCGGTATATGACACGTGCCACCCGATAACAACAATGCTCCGCAGACAGCGATGAACAAAAACATAGATGCGCCACAGATCCTCAGATCAGAGGGGCCAAGTCTCACTCCCATAGAGTAGAACGGCACTTACTGTGGCCTTGTAACCATGGCCTCTCAGACCGAGGGAAACTCATTTCTATCGTCAACAATGCCGCAGATTCAAAAGGGCAGTTCTAGCTTTTGCAATGCGTGAACTGACTTCAGTGGCTATGCGCCCATCGTTGCTGATGCAGCTGACGAACGCCACTTGTGGTCGGAAAGATATCTGATAAGTCACTGTAGACCCCGACGCGGCTTATGGTGTTTGAGTATAGGGCACGTACAATGTTCACCTATTTCATGGGAACACATTTCCACTTATGTATTTCGAACAGAATGCATCAATCGTCCGAATGGAACGCACTCTTGAAATCGAGGAACACAGCTATTGTCGGTCTGCGGTATGCGTGGTGCCGCTCTAGCACCTGTCTAGTGCTCCCATCTCTCCCACTGCTTGAGCCTGACTGGTCCACCAGGATTCCTTGTCAGCACACAGGCTCCGCTTTAGTTCGGGCCTAATAGTCTGCCTAGTTACCTTTTGCTCAGAGCCAGCCTTGAGCTTTCTTCCGGATTGCAACAGGTTCACCGACCTCCCGGATATCCAGTGACTGGTGCGGTGAAGATTGATAGTACCGCAACTAGTTTCTCCCGCGTTGTGCATGGTGCCCAAGATTCTATTCTACTGAAGCTCAGTGTGGTTACGACGGGAAAGCGAAAGTCTGGTACGCAGTGAACCCTGGTAAGCTGGCCTAACCGAGGGCTGAGATGACTTCTCAGCTGACAATCGAGAGACGCTTCGTGCGCCTTCCGGTAATGTTCATGGAAAAACGACAGCGTACCAAGGCATGATAAGAGTCGATGTAAGTACTCCAGAACCAGCGACAATCCTGGATAGAAGCACGCCACCTGAAAGTTATGGCAATGTGATCAATCGGGGTCCATCGCTGGCCAGCTACAGGAGGACGCCAAGTGGCACTTCGGCGCGCACTGAATCCAAAAGCGACGCCACGAGAAAAAGCTGGTGATCTGCACACAGTTGCACAGACTCTCGCCATTGTCCGTCCGTTCGGAGCTGGTTGGCGGCATCCGGTTTCGGATTTGCCTGTCACTGTGGCTAGCCACAGGACGCCCGCACCTACACAGGGACCATGGGCCGCTTGCGCTGTACCACACACAGCTCCAACCACACACCCCAATATCTAATGTAAACCCGAAGGAATAAGACCAGGAGACTTGTGGATGGGAGCCACATTTCATCAACGGAGCCGGTTCACACTGCTTCACAGGCAAACACAAGCACGCTGTATTTGGGGAATCAAGCGCACACAAGGTGGTGGCTGGACCGTGGTCCGCTCCACACTGAGTGCACAGAACCACTCTTCGAGCCTAGCACGACCACAAGGACCGTGCACACCGTCCCCTCCAGTAACGACCAACTGTCTCCTAGAGCCAGTATGGACGAGGTAGTGGGTAATAGACAGGTAGGCACCTTGTCAACATGCACAGCAAGCGCAGCCACACAGGGGAAATCAAACAACAACCAATCACTTGAAATGACATTATCAAATAAAATATATTTATTAGTGCATACGGTTATGCCGACATAATTATTCGCTCAAATAGCATATGAAGTAAGTTGGTTGCCAACGAACCCGTGATAAGTACAAAATGTAAAGGAGTTACTCAACATGCACATTAAGCGCAGCCACACCTGGGATATCAAGCAACAGCCAGTCACTTGAAACGACAATATCAAATAAAATAAATCAACTAATACATACAGATATGCCGGCGTAGCTCTAATAAATGAGCATATGAAATAAATTGATTGCCAAAAAATCCGCCGTAGTTTCAAGACGTCAAAAAATTTGTTTTAAGAAAATGTCACAAACGCGAAAATGTTATCGAAATTAACTACAATTAACTTGAGCGACGTGTGCAAGTTTATAGAAGATAGTTCACGTAGTCAATAATAAGACAATATAGCAAACCCACCACCTGGAATAAAGAGACCCAGCATGCAAGCACGCGGTTAGTAAATCAAATGCAGCGTACCTACAAACGCTGCGCCGGTTCTGCCTACGTGCCCAGCAGCGCTCGTCGTCGTTTCGGTGTTGGCCCCGAGTGGCCTCGCTCATGGCTTACTAGGCCTGCCTGACTCAGGCACTCGCGACCGCATGTGCTACAGCACCATGCGCTCGATGTCGATGGAGTACAACCCATCAGCGATTGCCACTTCTTCTCCGCATGCACGAGGTTTTTCTCCTGCACCTCGACAACTGCCTTCGTGATCAGATCGCGACATGCATGCCGATCAACCGCTTTCGATTCCCATGACCTGTAATCAAGAGTAGAACGTGAGAGGCTCACTTTGATCATGTCCTGGTAACGAAGCTTCGGTTTCCGCGCATGCCGCTTCCCAACACTCAGCTGACCATATAAGAGTTGTTTCGGTATCCGCGTCGAATCCATACGGCTCACATGACCGAGCCACCTCAGGTGTCTCAGCAAAAGTATGCAGTCCACTGCATACATTCCACTTCGGCGCAACACCTTCGTGTCTGCAACTCTGTCACACCAACCGATGCGAAGAATCCGTCGCAAACACTGTTGATGGAACCGCTCGAGATATCGCACATCCCGCCGGTACATCGTCCACGTTTCGCTGCCGTATAGAAGAACGGACAGCACCATGGATTTGTACACCAGCTTCGTGCCATCGGTAAGCTGATGGTTGTACCACACTCGGTACTCTAGCTTCCCGAATGTCGCCGCTGCCTTCGACACGCGGA